CTGTGTAGAACTTGATGTCATCTATCTGAATGTCTAACTCATGCAGTATAAAATCTGCAATTTACACAGCTAGCACAGTCCCACAAAGTTCAAGCCTAGGAATTGTGTGTTCAGGCTTGGGTGCTAACTTAGCTTTCCCAAATAGGAACCCTACATGGGTTTGAAAGAGTCTCTTACCTTGATGTAGGCAACAGCTGCTATGGTCTCAGTAGATGCATCTGTGAATCTCCTTTCTTTGACTTGCTGTAAGGGAAGTTGAAGTGTAGCAGCGTGGTATGTAAATTCCATCTAAAGCATGTAGAGACTGCTTCCAGGACTCCCATTGTGAATGCTTCATCCCAATCTTTAATAGTCTCTGATACCTGTCTCAATAAGGATTTACCTTGTATGGTGATGGGAACCACAAATCCCAATGGATCGTATAGGCTGTTCACCACTGACAGAACACCACTTTCATAACAGCATTGTTTGAGACAGTCTTATGGACAGTGGCGGAACGATTAACCAAAGGGCCCTGGTGCAAGATTTTGTCTTGGGCCCCCCTCCCAAGACAGGGGCCGGGGGGGGAACCCGCCCCCTCACTGTGAAGCCCGTCGGCAGTGCGGGGCCCCGGTGTTCGAACACCGGGACCGTGCACTGCCATATATTGCAGGACCGTGCTGAGGCTGTGGGGGTGCCCAGGACCAGACCGGACCCCACTGGGCCCCCCCACAGCCTCAGGCCTCGGTGCCCCGGCACCGCCTGCACCGGCAGTAGTTTCGGCACTGCTTATGGATTCAAACGTTGGTTTCAGAAAGCATACCTTGGGCCCTTTGAAGCAGGTCTTATGCTTCTTTGTGAAGAAGGGAATTCTCTTGCATGATGACTGGTGTAGAAGACTCAGAGGGGTTTCCCAAGATGTTTACTGCTTGCAGAGTTACTGCTGTGATACTTGAGAACTCAGTGCATTGGCCTGGGTGTTTGCATCAGTAGATTCCTCCTCACCCAAAGAAGATGAAAGTTTACAACTATTGAAATAAATCTGGTGAGTAGTCTTACCAGAACTATTAGAGGGTGGTCTTTTAATACAGTCTTGGTTTACTTATACAATAATTTTATTGTAGCATACACCATCTGAGCCTGAGGTTTGCATTCGTGTTCGATTCCAATAAGTACCCAACCTAGATCAGTCTTTTGGACATAAGGAGCGTCATTCCACCCATTGTGTTGCTGATGTACTTTGTGCACTCTCAGGATGTCTCTGCCTAAAAGAAACATCATTTTGGCATTGTTTTCAAGTGGTGGGATGCAGTCAGCTAAATGTCTTAGGTCAGGTTGATGAAGTGCATCCTCTGGTACAGGAATTTCCTCCCTGTTGTTAGGCAACTGTTTGCACTCGATGATCTGAGGAAGATGAATTCTTTCAGTTCCTTTTATAGGAGAAATTATTAATTCAACATAGTTGGTTTTTCCTGTGAGTTGCATTGAACCAACACAGATGTGCAATGTATAGGATAGCACCAGAGGCATAACTAGAAACCTCAGGGCCCCGGTGCAAGAAACCATGATGGGCTCTCCCCCTGCTGCGGAGCATTGGCCTGCCGAGAGCTGTAGTCCCAGGAGGCAATGTCAGTGCCTCGGCGGTTACTGGGCTGGGCCCTCTTCCTTTCCAGGCCCCTCAAGTAGCAGAACGCCAGTGCCTGGTCGCACCACGGTAGTATAACAATGAAGGCATGCTGAGACTTATAGTTCAACTACAACCAGCATGTCTTCATTGTCCCTTTACACCCCTCCACATCTCCAGGTAACTACAAGTTCCAGCATGCCCTCATTGTCCTTGTACACCCCCCCCCCACACCCAGGCCCGTCTTTAACGCAGGGCAAAAGGAGCAGTTGCCCTGGGCCCAGTCATTGTTGTGCAGGCAGCTGCCCCTTGAGCCTGCACTGCTTGTTCCCTACCTGGAGATGCGGGATGTCAGTGTCCCGTCTCTTCTCCCCCTCACCCTCCTGGTTTCCCTTATCTCTCCAGAGATAAGACAGACAGCAGAGATCGGCAAAGGGGACCTTTGTCTGCTCTGCCTAGCAACTGATGATGCTGATGGGCGAGCTGTCATAATTACACCGGCCCGCCCATCACGTCATCAGTTGTTAGGCAGAGCAGACAAAAGTCCTGATCTCCCGATCTGCTGCCTGTCTGCAAGTAACAGCAGTGGGGAGAGATTAAGTAAACCAGAGATTAAGTAAACCAAGAGGATGAGTGGGGAGAGCACGGGGATCACAGGCTCAATAACAGACTCTGATCCCCTTGCAGACAGGCAGCAGAGATCAGAAGATCAGGACCTTTTGTTTGATCAGCCCCCTGTCTGCCTAGCAACTGATGATGCAGATGGGTGGGCCGGCTGGTCTAGGCATTCATGATAGGCTCTGATCCCTGTGCTTTGGAGAGAGACAGAGCCACAGTGCCCTGCTCCTCCCACACTACTGGACTACTCAGGGGACACATTTGCAAGTGACAGATCGGGTGTTTTATTAAAGTTTCTGACTACGTTGGAATGTGTGACCGGTGACGTGGTCACACATTACAACGTAATCCCGCTCAGTTTGACAGCAATGGAATGTGTGACTGCCTATTAGGTCAAGCATTCCAATGCTTTGTCGGCTGTTCCAGGGCAGATCGGCATACTGCTCAAGTGCAGGAGAACCGCTCATATCTGCCTAGAACAACTGATCGGTCTGAAACGTCACTTCTATCGGACTTTTGTGAATGCCGCAGAGGAGGGTGATTCACAAACAGTAACTGCAGGAGTGTTACAATCAGCGAGCACCGCAGATATATTTGTTATATATCTGCAGCGCTGGCTGATTGTCACACTCCTTAAGTTACTGGGCCAATCATTTAAAAAATATATAAAATGAATAAATTGATTTGGGATGTTGGGGTGGAGAGAGAAACTGCATGGCAGTTAGCGGGCTTGGCTTGGTCCCCCGCCCAAGAAAATGTTTGCCCAGGGTCCAATCAATATCAAAGACGGCCCTGCCCACACCCACACATAAATCACCCAGGAAACTACAAGTTCCAGCATACAAACCCTCTGCAGTAGTTCCCTGGGTGATATGTGAGAGGTGTACAAGGACAGTGAGTTCATATGCTGGGACTTGTAGTTCCCTGCATGATAGAAGGCTCTTTTAATTACTGCCCTCATGAAAATACAAGTAATACAATGCCATTATAGTACAGTAACTTTCAAGTTCAACTATATTCTATGTTATGTTTCTATAATGGCATTGTATTTCTTGAGGACAATAATTAAAACAGCCTTCTATCATACAGGGAACTACAAGTCCCAGCTGAACTGCCGACTAGTAGTTTTCTAGTAATACAATGCCATTATAGAATAGAATATAGTTGAACTTAAAACTTTCAAATTCAGTCATGTTCTATTCAATATTCTATAATGGCAAGTAGTTACCTCAGCTGTCACGGTCCTCTTGTTCTCACAGCTGAAGAAACCTCGAGCAGGCTGTAAAAAAAAAAAAAAAAAAACTAGCATAGGGGACATCAGCCGAGAACATCCAGGTGCGTCTCACTGTATTGTCAGGCGGTGGCTGCTGCTGGGTCCTCGTGGCTGAGGCACCAGTGCTGCCCGATTTGCCTGTGTTCACTGCCCGTGCGCAACCCCCTCCGCCCATCTGTCTGTCTCGGCGCTCGGGGGAACCGCACCATCAGCCCCTTTTTCCTCCAAGTGGTGGAACACCAGGGCCTGGTCGCACATGCGACCGCTACAAACCTGGTAGTTCCACCACTGGATAGGACGTTAACCTTTATGCCAAATAAGTCAAAGAATTCTGAAGTGGCGAGTGAATGACTGCTTTGGTTATCTAAGACTGCATGCATCCTGACTTGCTTTTTCTGGTTGTCCTTGCCAAAAAGCTTGGACAAGACATATTTTTGCAAGAGTCTTTCCCCAAAGTCTTTTGTGAAGTAGTCCACTACATTTTGATGTGACTGATGCAGGTGGTTCCAAATGGCTCTCCCCGCACACTGCAGTACCCGAAGAAGGAACACTTGTTGTGGCTGGAGCATGACTTTGTTGCTCCTCGCCATGATTTGAGGCAGGTCAGGATGTAGGTGGCTGCTGTGGTTTGTCTGGAAGTGCAGTAGGATGTATAGCTATAACATGTTTGTCACTACTGCATTCTGTGCACTTAATGAATCTCCCTGCGCTCTCGTAATGTCTTTGCCCTAAGCTCACAAATTTTTTTAAGAGGCTGAGGTTTCTTGGGAATAGGTCATTGACGATTAGGGTCTTTATTTCTATCACCCGAATCACTCAGGTGAGCAGTAGAGGATACGGGAGGTGAGATGTCTGTCCTTTTAACAGATATTGCTCTATTAAAGTCTCTGATGGGGATTTATCAAAACTGGAGCAGACAAAATCTGGAGCAGCTGTGCATGGCAACCAATCAGCATCCACCTTTCATTTTTAAATCTTAACTGAACAAACTGAAGAGACAAGCTGATTGGATGCCATGGGCAACTGCTCCAGATTTTGTCTGCTCCAGTTTTGATGAATCCCTGCCTCTATATTTAGCTGCTGTGTTATCATACCTTGATGATGATGACGAAGCAGGCAAGTTGGGTTCACTGAAGCTGGGATAATTTCTCATGATCACTGTTGAACCTGCAAATATATGAGAATGGAGGAAATTATACATTAGTTTTTTTTTGTATTCAGAGCCCTGTTGCACCCATTTCTCTTGCAGGTTGAATGGCAGTTTAGACACCACCGCCATGAGTGGTGCTCAGGAAGCTTAGTCCGGGTAGACATGGGTCTGTCTTTGCCAACTCTAGCTCCATGAGGAGATCACTTAATTCTTGAAGCTTGCAATGATCTTTGTTACCTATTTTTGGAAAGTTTTGCATTCTCTTTAAAAAAAGTGCTTTCTATGGCTTCGGAGCTACCATAGGTTTGCTCAAGTCTTTCCCATGCAGCAGCAAGACCTGCATCTGGGTAGTCAACATGCACTGCTCTCAGTCTTTTAACACGATCTGCAGATTCTGGTCTCAGCCACTTTATGAGCAAATCAAGTTCCTCCTTGGGCGTAAGCTTGAGATCAGCAATACCAGCTTTAAAAGGTTGATCTCCAGGCCCTGTAGTTCTCTGGACAGTCGTCGAACATTGAGAGGCTAATGTTAATGAGCTTGCGGGGAATCATATATCTGGCGAAGTCAGACAGGTCTGATCACTCACTCCTTGGTGCCAAAGTAACTTGTGGAGCCTTTTGGGCGTGAAAGTTCTCTGCTGAAGAAGGGTGAGGTATACCAGAAAAGAATGATGCTGCAAGAGCGTTTTAGCTGTGGTATAGTCTCTAAGGTTTCTGCTGGCTGTGGCTTGAACTGTGGCTTGTCGCTGGGAGTCACCTTGTTGTTGGCAGAAGGTGATGCGGTTTGCTGTGTAGATGCACTTGTGTTGTGGATTTGAAGAGGCTCAGGCATTTGGAGCTGAGGTGTCTCTATGTTGAGAGTCAGAACAGTGTTAGGAGGTACAGGAGAGGACTCTGTATTGTTGCAAACATTATGCTTTAGCACATATTCACTGGTGCGTTCAACTGGATCCTCCAGTTCTGCTGGGATAGAACAGTCTGAATTAGTACTTTGTCCCATTGCTTGTTCAAGGACCTTCAGTCTTCCAGGTCAGAGGCATGATGTACCTGCTTTAGTTCAACCCTAATAGAGTGCTCACGGCCTTGTATTTTTCATATTTTTGCAAAACATGGTACTGTCTCTTTAAAAAGACGAACAGCAGCTTAGACAGGTGGGGTAACACAGTTCAATGCAGAGAAACAGTTTTCAACATTCACAGGTGAAGTGCGGTAAGCGTGTGCGATCATGTGCTTTCACAAGATGTCAGATGGCACTGAGCTATATTGCAGATTAGGAACACACATACTGTGTAAATACAGCAGGCTGTAGGAATTCTACCATCTTTGACTATTCTGACTCCGATTTTTGTATTAGCGATTTATCCCTTGCTGAGACCTCTATGCCTGGCCTGTATAAGCAGATATAATCACCACAGACAATCCTTATCAGATAGGTGAACTCACCAAATAACTTTTCATCAACAAAAGAACTTTATTGAATGCAGCAGGTTACGGGAGATATAAATTCTCACTTCAAATTAATATAAATATTAACCATGACTATGCATTGTGTCATGTTTTATACAACTGTTGTAACAGCACAAAGTTCTTTCATGTTGGTCTAGCTTTTTACAGGGACTTTCTGAATCTCTATTTTTTCTTTTCCCCATAATCCAAAAACATCCTGGTAGGTTACTGTGATTGTTTTTTGTTTACCTAACTGTCCCTGCCATTTATGTCTGTGCTTGTACGAGAGTGGCAGGGGAGTTGGCCTAAAAAGCTCTTTCAGGGGCCAGAACTGAAGTAAATAGTTCTAAGTATTCTGAAAAGCACTATGTAATGTGTTAGGGCAATATACATGTGGGAATGACCAGAGTAAGTAAAAATGAACAGCCTGTCCACATGTGCCCCATCGGTTTTCTTTTGCATAACAGCAGAGGTTTCTGACTCTTGATTGTATCGCATTGAATTAAGGTGAAAAGATCTTGAAGAGTTTTCTTAGCATTAAAGTGACATTAAAGTCAAAAACCTTTTTTCCCTCACCCCTATGTTAATTAAAGCACTTGCCCTAAATGATGTCTCTTAATACGATCTTCCTCTTCTTTCCTGTCCTTTTCAGCCTTCTCTCCAGCGCTGCTGCAGGTCTCCAATCCAGCGCTGACTCCTCTGTCCTTGCTGGCACTTCCTGTCCCACGGTGTCTGCACGCGGGTGCACGCGTCCATAGACGTACCTTGTGTCTCTCCTCGTCTCCCGGCCAAAAATCCAAACTGCGCATGCGCCCCCCCAAGATGCTTTGCGGCCGTCCAAGCATTTTCGGATTTTTGGACGGGAGCACACGGCAAAGACAGGGGTAATTTTAAACCGCTTTTAAAGCAGTTTAAAAAAAAAAACTTTTTGCATATATCTACTGCTTGCTAGCAGTAGATATATGCAAAAAAGAAAGTGAGGGTTTAGAAACCCTTTAAGAAAACTTCCAGTCAGTGAGGGTTCCAGGCATCCGGTGACAGTAAGCAGCAAGGAAGCATGTGGTTAGTAATTCTGAGATTTTCTCTCAGAAAGCTGAAAGCCTCCTTAATGCACATTGATCTGGATGAATTCAGTTTCCAAGGAAGATATATTTTATAAAATGATGAGCACTATTTGAGACAATCTTACATCAGGTTGGACCTTACTTTTTTATGCTTCAATTAGTTTTGAACCCCTTCATGACTGAGCTAGTTTTCAGTTTCTGTTCATAAATGACTAACACACTTTATACATTTTTGCTGTGTGATTCTTCCACGGCAGTAATTTACTTTCTTACTAAATGTACCCACACATATTATATATTGTTTTTTAGAGGACAGATGGGGCTATATAATTATATCAAACGTGTACCTAACGCCTCACTAAGTTCAAATAAAATAATTAAAAAATGAGATAAAAACAAAAAGAAAACACTTTTTTCACAAGTTTTGATTCATTATTATTATTTTTTTTAGAAATGTTTTTAATAATAATAGTAGTAATTATAGTATAAAAATATATTTTATACATAATTTTTATTTTCCAATTTTTTTTTACACTTTAATTATTTTTATTTTTTTACAATTTGTAAAGAATTTTTTTTTTGGTCAGTTTATATAAAGCAGTCATTATGACTTTTTTATAAATTAACTTTTTTTTAAAATTTTTGTTATTATTAGGCTGCTCCAAAGAATAGCTAATAATAACCTTAGAGACTGATCCTGACAGCATGTCAGAATCAGATCTTAAAGGTTTCTGACCGTGCCTAGAGGATCAGAAGTGATACATTTCAGGCACAGAGATACATTGTAATATTCCTGTGCCTGAAATGTATCGTAAACATCAGGCCAGTCTATCCAGCTGTCAAAACAAATAGCAGAGAGGTGACTCACTCTGCTACCTCTCTGCAATCTTCAGCTGTCAAATACCGTATCGCTATTTAGCGATCCCGTATTTGTATGTAACGGCTTCATTCTTTCATTAATGAAAGAAAGAAGCTTTTACAAAAGCTTAACTATTTTATTAATGAATGCCTCAATACTGAATCAGAATCAGCGATTTCCGACAAAACAGAGCCTTAACCACTTGCTGACCGGGGTGTTTATACCCCCTTCCTGTCCAGGCCATTTTTCAGTATTCAGCGCTGCAGTACTTTGACATTTATTCCGTCATGCAACGCTGTACTGAAATTAATTTTATACCATTTTTTGGGGACAGATAGAGCTTTCTTTTGGTGGTATTTAATCACCACTACTGGTTTTTGTGACTTTAACCTTTTTTTTTTCACTTAACTTTATTGCCATCACATAGGGAGCAAACAAGCTCCCTATGTGATAGCCAATTTGCAGTGACAGGTCCTCTTTATGGAGACATCAGGGGTCTTTAAGACCCCTAATGTCACCTTGGGACCCCCAGAGAAGCTGATGAAGCAGAGACCAGCTCAGTTTCAAATCTTACCTGAGCGAACTGAAGAGAGAAGCTGATTGGTTGCCATGGGCAACGGCTCTAGATTCTGTTTGCTCCAGTCTTGATCAATTCCCTCCAATGTCTTTTTATCTGTTCTAACAGTCATATCTGTAAATGAGAAGAATGGTTGGGGGAGGGGGGGCATGGGGGAACCTGGACTTGGGGCAGCAGAGAGTAAATGTGACCCAGGAGAGGGAGAGACACACAAAGATAAGTCTACAGTACTGGACATGTGCAGGATATTCTATCACACAGACAGAGAGCACAATGACAGGAGATTCTAACACACAGACACTGAGCTATGACTCATCTCTGCGCTCTGCTCTCTCAAGGGAAGGGGGAGGAGGGGGGAAACAGCTGATTGCAGTTTAGAGATAACAACCCAACCCTCTGAGAGAGGGATTGGAGATATTGTGGAGGGAATTTTGAACTTCTAGGCCTCTGGCCTGTAAAAGAATCTATAAAATAAAGTATGAAAAACAGCCCTGTGACTCCTGAGAATGCACACACATGTGTACCCCCTCTGCGCCTCCACATTACCACCAAAAACTCAAAATTACTTACAAAGGTAACCTCCCTGGCGGTCTGATTATTTAAACTTTTCCCCTTTTTTTTGTACTTTTTTTTCCCCCCATTATTTTTACTTTTAAAATTCCCGCCGGTTCTGCCCCCTTGCGACGCGGACTCTCGCAAGGGACGGCCCCGGAAGACGGATGCCGGCATTGGCCAGAGGACACAGTGCGGCTCGAGGGACAAGGTAAGTAACGCTATGCTGTAATCCCGAGTATGGCTCGGGGTTACCGCTGATGGTACTGAAAATTAACCCCGAGTCACACTTGAGATTACCGCCAAGGAGGTTAAATAACTCGTCACGTACAGTGTACGTGGCCAGTCATATAGGCACTTTGTGGCGGGACGTACAGTGTACGTCTCCCATCACGGAGGGGTTAAATATAACCTATACTTTCAGCATTCATTTCGTAATCATCAATAAGCAATACTGTATCTGTTTTCTATTCACCAGAGTGCATCTTTTTTCTAGTGGCCTGTTAAATAAATACATTAATTTGCCTACTCTTTGTTCCTCGCTTGGAGACAGAAAAGCTGAGTAATTGCATTATTTGTATATATTTGGTCTGATCTTTGTGTCTCCTTCCTCCTTACTAATTAGGACTCATTGGCTTCTTCATCGCCTTTGGAATTTCCATGGGGAAGATGGGAGATCAGGCCAAAATAATGGCTGACTTCTTCAACATCCTCAATGAGATTATTATGAGGCTGGTCAGCATGATAATGTGGTAAGAGATGAATTAGTTTTAGCTTGAATGGTTTGTGGTTTACTCAACACATACATTTACACTGAGGGATTGTTATACAAAGGTCAGTGGTCTCACTTGGTTGTATGTTGAGCCTGTATTACTCTTTGGGATTCTTTTGGTTTGCAGAAATAAAGCCTCAGGGTATTTAAGGTTCCTAACTGCAATGCAGATCCTGCTAAGAGCTCTTTGTCTTTCAAGGGAACTTGGAAAAGCATATTGCAGCTGCCATTGCTGACTTGGGGCTGTCCTGTTTATCCTTGCTTCTGCTAAATCATATGCAAATTCTTGTTCCAGATTATTAGCTCACCCAGTACTGCAGGAAGGTTAAGGCAAACCTGTGGTTTTCCCATGCAGGGCAAAGCAACAGGTTTGCTTTAAATCCCTCCTCCCCAGCAGTAAATATTTACTTCTATGCTGCTCCGATGCTTTTCCGAAAAATGAAGGGAGGAAAATACTTGGTTCTTTGGGTATGAATGAGCATGTAATTAACTCCCCTTCTTCACATTTGAAGGCACTGATGCTTGGTAACTGGCCCAACACTGTCACGTAAGAGTGGGCAGACAGTACTTAGTCCTGTGTAAGCTCCAACTAGACTGACTTGGAGCTTACAAAGTAGACATGCAAATTTTGTCTAGTTCCGAATGAATATTTGTATGAATTATGATAAATTCGGATGCATTACGGGTACTGTTATGTGACACCCTGTTGTGCTGTAGAGACAGTCGAATAGAGCAGTAGTGTCAGAAATAAAATGACCAAACCCCCCCCCCCCAAAAAAAAATAAAATTAAGTTAGCTTATAATTTAAAGGACCTCATCCGAATAGATCAGAGATAGAAATTTGTTCCACACTTAAAATTTGGATGGATCCGATATCTGAATAAGATACCAAATCAAATTTTGGATCAGAAATAAAAAAAAAACACAAAAAAATAAAATCCCAATAATCGATCCGAAACTAAACAAAATCATTTTTTTTGCGGAGTTACATGTCTATTACGAAGGGCATCCTTTCTTCATTCCCATCAGCAGAACGGAGTGACAAGGGAGCAAATGCAAGCTGGCTATGTGTTGTTGGGTGACCAGTCATTAACGAAAACCTGTTGCTTTACTCTGCAAGAACAAAACACAGGTTTGCTTCAAATCATAAGTGCACTTTCAAACAAACGGCACCTATACTTGTTGCCCCCCCCTTTCCCCGCTGAGCTAAGCTAGTCCACCTTCCCTCTCCCCAACTTACTTCACAATTGTGCCCACAGCCCCCAGTGTTAACACACATCTCCTCAGGCAGGGGAGGCGGCCCTACAGAACCCTATGGAAAGCTACTGTGCAGGTGCAGACAGCACACTGAAGATTGACCCTTATCCTTTAAGGAGCCTTTGATCATGCATGGTCCTTTCATCATGCATGGTTTTTAAATGCTCTTCACCCTTAAACTGTAATCTGTACAGTATGCCACTTTACAGAAACATGCATTATATTACATCATAGGAAATATGTGAACCCTTCACTCCATAACTAAAATATGTTTACAACCAAGCAAAGATTTCAGTTAGAGTTGAACATTTCACAATCACATCAACCAAAATGAATCATTCCTGGAAGTCATCCACGACCATGTGACCTGAAACACATTAAATGATAGCCCCTATTGTAGCTGATCAATCTACAGCTGGTTAAAGGGGGTGGATTTTAATATATAAATCACATTTACCTACCTGACCCAATCTTCTGATCCAATGTTTCTAACTCCAGGTCTATGAAATCTGTTACTTAGGAAAGGTAGATGCCTGCAGGTTCAAAGAGATGCTCAGACCGAGACTTTGTCATGATGAACTGGAGACATTAGATCAGTTGCTTATAAAAGTATACTGAAGGGACGTTGATAGCAATAAAAACCTGACAGAAATTTAAACACCTTCCACTAAATAACAAGTTTTTGGTAGGTGCTAAGGGGTTAAACGACTAAACAGATTTTAAAAATATTTGTTGATATTGTCACTTGAGTTCCAGGGTCTGCACACCCGAAGTGGGCATTGTGCTGGGTTTTCACGCTCCCTGTTTGGATTTTTAAAATAATTTTATATAAAGGAAAGTGCAATAGGCAGTGCTATATTTGCCACAATGGCAGCCCTGGGTCAGTGCAATGGGCAGCAGCTGCTGCAGATATGACTCTTACCAGTCAAGATGTTGCTGAAGACACTTGGCTGAACCCTCTTTGTTTTATTGAAAAACAACAGGAACACCGAGACAGGAAATGCCTTTGTCCCTATTCAACACTTCTCATGTAAGTCCCATCTTCTTTCTGAGTTCTTCAAACTTTGGTTTTGGTAGCTTTTTTCACAGCATCTGCAATCATCCTATTATGTCTGTGAAGGTTCTCATTCATCCAGGTCACCGTATATCGTTAAAAAATAAGTCAATGCAACTTGGCTTGCTGTATTTTTCTTGAAGACGTTTCACTGGACATCCGGCCAGCTTTCTCAAAATTATCCGGGATTTAATATGGTGAATGTTGCTCCAATCCACATAATCTGTTAGTCACCACCAGGTGTTGATTGCATTTGCATAATTGGAGTCTAGGAGGTGTTATTAACCTACCCAGAGAGAGGTGTTACTGGTGGTGACTAACAGATTATGTGGATTGAAGCGAAATTCACCATATTTATTGAGTGAATGAACTGAATTGAGAAAGCTGGTCGGATGTCCAATGGAACGTCTTAATAAAAAATTCAGCAAGTCCAGTTGCCTTGACTTATTTTTTACATGATATATCATCTTATTAGTTTTACAGTATGCAAGCACAATGACATTTGTTCCACAAGGTAAGAATGTACGGTGCCTGACGTCAATGTACTGCCATTTAACCTTCTCAATCTGCAAGCATAATACACATTTGCTTCTCATGAACAGGCAACGTTTGCATTTCTTTGCATGATGCTGGCTTAGGCTGTGGCGTTGTATGAACTATATATGACAAGTGTCTAGCTGGGATGCTGTTTTTGGATCTCACAGATTTTCTGACTATAAGGTTACAATTGATCCCGCCTCCTTCCTTTTTCAAAGGATAATTACTGACACCATTTTCAGTTACGTTCTTCTTTCAGTTACGCTTTTCCTGCAGTACTGATGAGGCTTCTTACTCAGGTTGTTCAGACAGTGCTGACTGTGTCACTTCATGAGGCTTTTTATTAATAATCACATTTCTGCTGATTCTTACCTTCCAGACAGGGGCGTAACTAGAAATCACAGGGCCCCATAGCAAAATTTTGTAAGGGGCCCTGTGATTTCTAGTTATGCCCCTTGCAGAGCCCACCTGAGATCCCAAGCATCCCACCGGAGAATGACCCTTCAGAGCCCACCATAGACTCTCTATGGCGGGCTCTGAAGGGTCTCAGGTGGCTGGTCACACCCCTGAACACCTCTTTCCTGTCAGCCCCGATCCGCTGTCAGCCTCCTTCACCGCTGGGCCCCGCCTCCTCTTCCACGATCACTGGCGGGCCCCGCCTCCTCCATCGCCGGGCCCTCTGCCTCTGCTGCTGAAGCTGGCCATTGCCTCCTCCCCCATGGCCGACTCCAGGCCACGCCTCCTCCTCCGCAACTCTTGGCTGTCACTGACTCAGCAGCGGCGTGTTCTTCCTCACAGCCGCCAGTGACATCCGACAGCCTGCGATGCTATAGCAACTCAGGCGGCCCGCACGGCATCAATGGGACCCCTTTGTTCCTCATCCTGGCCGGGCCCACCTGTTCCCCGGGTCCAAAAGCAGCTGCCTAGGTCGCTATGGTGATATTTTCACCACTGCTTCCAGGTAAGCAGTTTTAGAGATCGCAGTCTGTCATAATTGCCTTTCTCTAGTATGTTAATATGTGCATCGAAAAGCAAGCTTATGCCATTTTCACAAAAAGTGCGGTTCATTTTTTCTGCAACACCATTTTGTTCTGGATTGTATTGTGGAGCGTAGTCTGGAACATAATTCCATGCTTCCTCAGAATAGCCTGTGTTATTAGAATAGCCTCTTGTGTACTTTGTGCCAATATCTGCGTGGAGTATTTTAAGCATTTTCCCAAATGTATTGCTTACATGGGCAAGATATTGTTAAAGTTTATGTAGAACTTTATCTTGCATAACAAAGTAACATAGCATGTAATGTTGAATAAAGTCCAAGGTCCATCCAGTTCAACCTATGTATGTATGCATGTATGTATGTGAGTGTGTGTGTGTGTGTGTGTGTGTTTATCTTACTCAACTCTTCCCATATCCCTGTAGATTCTGCAAAAGAAGAAACTCATCCAGAAGTTTCTTAAATTTATAAATGTTATCCGCAGATACCACCACCTGTGGTAGGGAATTCCAAACTTTCACTACTTTTACAGTGAAATACCCCCTACAAATTCTAAGATTGAATCCCCTCTCTTCTAATCTCCTGTTGTGTCCCCGGGCTCTCAATACAGTTTTGGGATTAAACAGTTTGTTCCTAATATTGTGATTCCCCATTAATGATTTTGAAGACTGCAATAAGGTCCCTCGCCTCTTTTCTAATTTGAATTAGTTAAGATTTTGAAGGCCTTCCATCCTTTTTAATTCATTTTGTAGCCTCTGAACTCTCTTCAGTTCCAGGGCGTCCTTCCTGAGAGTCGACGACCAGAACTGTACAGCATACTCAAGATTGGGCCGAACCAATGATTTATAAAGTGGAAGTATTAATCTTTGATCTCTTGCTACAAATCCTATTTTAATACATGCCAGTATCTTATTAGCTTTACTGGCTGCTGCTTGGCATTGTTTACTATTGCCAAATCTGTTATCTATGAGCACCCACAGGTCTTTTTCTATGTGTGACTTCTCTAAAGTAACACACCCCCAAGTAGTAGTTTGCACACATGTTCTTTACTCCCATGTGCATAACCTTAAATTTTTCAACATTAAATCGCATTTGCCATCTTGTAGCCTATGCCTCAATTTTGCCTAGGTCCTGTTGT